GATATTCCATCAATACGACAGAATAAATATTCTTAAAACTATCTAATACCTCTAATAAAACGTGAAATAAATTTAATCTTATAATTTATCACGAGATTATCATACATTATACCTCACAATAAACAATTTAGTTAGATGACACAAATCCCATATAAAACCTAAACCTTAACTAGGACCCTACTTCCCCTGCAACAACTTCACAATCCTCTCACCGTTTGACACGCAGTGGATAACCGACAAAGAGCTTAATTTTCGTACAGTTCAGCAGCTTCTTTATAGCATCTTCATACTCACTCTTTATCATTCACAGATCCCAAAGTTTCAATCTTTTTTCCCAAATCTTGATACCCTTTTCAGTATTTGAGTGATTTTTTTTTTGACTAATTTAGTATGTAGATTTTGATTTTTATGTGAAAATATGAGGTGGGTCGAGCTCAATAATGGGTGATGAATTGGGGTTTTGAGATGGGTATGAATCCGTTTGAAGAAATGGGGAAAAGGGTTCCGAAAAGGGTGTGGCTTAGATCTCAAATGACAATGGTATTAATGGTGGGTGGAAATCACACTTCATCCAGGTTTTGTACTCGTTAATCTGTTTGAATTTGTTGTTTTTAGGCTTAAATCTACTGTTTTTAGCTTCTGTGAGAACTTCACTTGCTGTTATAGATCTTGAAAGTTTAAGAAATCTTAAAGAAAAAAAATGGATATGAAGGTTTTGAAATGGCAATTTATTCATGGGTCGTTGGTGAAACGTTTGATTGTGAAAGGGTTCTTGTTTGTTACTGTTATGATTCTTGTGTCATTTGTTCAAATGACACATATGATTCAGAAATCTGAACCTATAATGTTGAATTTTGGTGTATGCCCTTTGAACTTTGGGTCTAATGAGTATATGAATGTGACCGGGTTCGTTAAACCTGTTTCTGGATTGGGGATTTCGCTGTTTGGAGCTTCTTTGATGAAGCGGGACGACGAAAAATTGACCAAGGATGTGTTTAAGGAGCTAATGGAAAAGGATTTCTTGGATTTGAATGCTAATGCATTGTGTGTTGGGAAGAAATCGTCGTTTGCAGCTTTGGTGCTGCGAGAATTGGGACTCTTGAGTGCTGTTGGTGTTGATGCACACCCGTATTTCTCTCTTGTATGGAGAAGATTTATGTACGAGCTCGATCATGAGAACAATTCTTTCGATTTTGTGTTCTCGAGGGATCTGGATAAGGTCACTGTACCAGCTCTTATGGTGCTTGAGATTGAGCGTGTCTTACGTCCAGGGGGCACCGGTGTTATGCTCGTGGGTTCTAGTAGTTTCTACGCGGGTAACTTGGTAAAAGGCAACTTGATAAGGTCTGCCACCCCAGTTTCGTCGTTCTTGAAGAGTTCTGATGTTGTGCACGTATGTGGGGTTGGCACGTATACTCTAGTGATGTTCAAGAAAAGATCAGAGATTGTTCAATCTCTCGTGCACTCTGTGCTGCCTGCTAATTGTCCTTCCAATGTGAACAACAAGCCGTACTTGAAGCACCTTGAGCCACTCGTGGAAAAGAAGCTTGGACAGTTTGAGACACAAATCTCATACTTGCCCAAGTTCATGAACATCTCATCTAGGAACAAACTGGTGTATATCAACGTTGGTGCAGGGGAATTCGTAGAATCAACTCTTGCAAGAACATTCAAGCCTCATTATCCAATCCCTCACCACTTGTTCAATGTTTTCGTCATTGATCATAACACCTCCACACTGTCCTTATATGTGAAGAATCCTGGTATTAACTTTGTGTACCATCCAGGACTTGCTGTCGCCGGAGAGACTACTTTGTCATCTGTTGACACTGACGAATATTTGGGTGCACCACTAGATCATGAAGGATTCGACTTCATTCATTGGTTTAGTGAAACAGTTAAAGACGGAGACTATGTCATCCTCATGATGAATGCTAGAGCACCAGAGCTAAACATTCTAGCAGAACTATTCCAAACTGGATCAATATGCCACGTCGATGAGCTGTTCCTTCGCTGCTCCGCTGCAGATTGCAGAAATGCTCTTTGTGGAGACTGCATGAGCCTTTTCAAAACTCTAAGGAGAAGTGGTGTGTTTGCTCATCAATGGTGGGGAGACTAGAGTTTTGTCAAGAGTTTTAAGTGCATTTTATGTTGTCTTGTGTTCAACTTTTGCTTTAGTGTCTGTTGGGAATAAATTGAGGGGAGGTTGTAGGTTGAAAGTTGATACTGTAATCTTACTTTCTCCCTTCTGGAACTGCACTTGATGTCTTGTGTATGTGTCCATGTGTGTATGTGAGTTGCTTGTCTCTAAGTTTCTTTTTTGAGTTTATATAAAAATATGTGTTATGTGTTTTAAGAACTATGCTTTATTGTGATAATTAACATCTCAATCCCATCATCTAAGGGTTAAAAGAAATTAGTTGAGGTGTGTATAAGTTGTCGTAGACACCATGTACGTTAAAAGAAATTAACATCTCAATCCATCATTTAAGGGTGTGACGCAATGGTTAATGAAGTGGATAATTGCGTTAAATTTCATCATACGTCAAAAATTACTAGGTGATTGTTTCGTATATCTTCAAGCCTTTATGAAAAGTGCACATAACAGAAGTTTTATGCATCAGACTGCTCTTACGTTTCTTTTTGTTACTATTCCATCAAGTAATTGAAGTAAATAAATTGGATAAAGCAAATTAGATGCTTTTGAAGTGTGAACTGTTGATTTTGATATACTTGAAGAAAAAGAAAAAAAAGCCAAATCTTTAGCAAAACTATTAAATCCTTTTTGGCTAATGTAATTCATTGATCAATCAATGACGTCTCAATTTGAAACTCTAATCGCGACCAATATTATTAAAAAAAGAAAGTAAAAAAAATCATAAGAAAAAGGAAAACTCACAGAAATCCCATACATTTGGGTGCTAACTACATTTTATCCCGAAAGTTTTTCCAATTACAAAAATTTCAAATGTTTCATTGCTTTCAGATACATACATTGGTTGTCAGATATATTGAAAATGGTATATTACTTAATAGGATAGTTGTATCAGGAGATAGATGTATCCAAGAGAGGTTAGGTATATCCGAGAGGTGAGAAATGTATCTGAAAGGGGATAATAATGTATTCGAGAGGGAATTTTCGTAATTATTTTAAAGATTATGATATCTTAAGTTGTATATTTATGTAATTTTTTTTTCGAAAAAAAACAAACTTCATTGCTTTGAAGACAAGGGAGGAACTACACTATGATCCAATCCAAAGCTCCCACTTAAATATTGGGCCAAGAAAGCTAACCCAAATAAATCCTTTATATATTTGGCCCAAAAGCTATATGGCCCAATCCACTCCAAAGTAGAGCCAAGAGTTTGCCTTTTAACTTCCATTGGGGCATCTCAAAGTACTATCGGGAGGTAGCAGGTACTCGTGAAATAGTTAATTTATGCATAAATCGACTCTTTCAACTAGCACAAATTAAAAATTTTATTTTGTATATAATCTATCAGTTGTACAAAAAATTCAACAATAACAATATCCAATTATAATTTTACAAGTGAACTATGAAAAAAATCATGTGTTTTGTGCCCCGTATCCTTACTGCACCTTATAAAAATAGAATTTTGTTCTTGACCCTCGACTCAAGTATATATGAGAAAAATAAGTATCTAAAAGCATTTACATGTACAAAAGTTAGTGCACTTAATTTAAAAATTAGCACTTATTTGCATAACCTAGACAATAAAAAAAACAAAACAAAAAAACCATAGTGCTGAGTATGCTAACATTAAACTAATAGTAATTTTAAATATTATACCAATTAAATTAAATTAAAGTTAATAAAAAATATTATTTTTCCCCCCCACAATCCCAAAAAAGCAGGGGGGATTTGCTTTTCTTTTTATTTCCCTAATATGGGCTAAAAATGACATATCAAAATAGACAAAAATGACTAAAGTTTTGTCCAAATATGGCATTTGCTTTTTCTAGAAAAATAAATAAATTTTAGTACAATCACAGGAGTCCCACAAATTCTGCAAATACCATACCTTTCACATAAACTAAAGTCAGATTCTTTTTTTTTTTTTTAAATTAAATAATAATAATATTTCCTTTTTCACTTACTGTATACATGTGCATAGATATAAATACTCCCATCACAAAAATAAACAAATCCTGCAACAAATATTCCAGTTCTTTTTTTCTTGGTTTTTCGAATATTTAACTACATATATAAAGAGTGATTAGGATGAAACACATCGATAATTTTTTGAATTTATAATTTATTAGTAAAGTTTATTTAGGTTAAAGTGCTTGTTCTGATAAAGCAGTTGAACAAACGATAAAATGTTTCTATTAACACACAAATATGAAGTATGTCACAATTTGAGAATTTAAATGAAATTAGTTGTGTATCTAAGGGGGTGTCGATGTTATTCAACAAATGATTTAAAAATCAGTTAGATTTGGAAAAAAGATATCGAGATTTACATCTTGCTATAAATATAAATCTATTTTAAACAATGACGTCGATATCAATTTGCACATACATTGATTATTGTAACAGTATTTATTACCTTTCATCAACACAAGTATCGTATAATTGTATAATGAATTTATGTCCCGCCCTATAAACACTTTTGTCTAATTATTAAAAAAGAAGAAATAAAAACGGTGAAATGAATGTATGAAGATATTAGAATTATGATCGAAAATATTCAGAATAAGGTGAGAGTGACTTCCGTGATATGGTTAAGTTGTTTGAAGAGTTTCTTTCCAAGAATATTCTTTTGGTTATGTTTTGTGTTTGAAGAAAAGATGCTTACTGAGCTGTACTTTTGTTTATATTAAATATAATTAGAGAAAGATCCATTACACATCAATTTGTGTCAGAAAAAATCAAATTAACACTATATAAAATAATTATATAATAAAAATAAATGGTACTTTTACTGTTGATTTAAGGAAATAAAATTCCAAAATATGTTTTTGAGTGGAGGACAAATGCATAATTCAGACTTTACTGAATTTAACAAATATCAACACTGTACAGCTCTTCTTTCTGTGTCTATGCAAATCTTGGAACTTGAGATCTTATCACCTCGACTAATTTCATAGGATGTCTGCTTACCTCTCACGAGAGACCTCGATTAATTTCATAGGATATCTACTTACGAGAGATATCGAGTAACTCTGTAACAAGTCACCTATTAGACTTATATCATCATCATACTAAAATTTATACACACCCCAAAAAATGAACCCATTCAAAACCATTACAATACACCCCTTGGAAGAGAAAGAACAGATTCAACTTAAACATGAAGCTCATTACCATATCCCTACATCAAATGAGTCTGTTTTACGCATTTACAGTCGAGAGAAAGATTAAACCAAGACAAGTGAGCTAACGATAGCTCCTCCATCGCGCAGAACAAGTTTCCTATTGACTCTAAAGTAAAGCCAGACCAAAATAAGACAACCCTGAGAACAGATTACCAAGGAAAACTGTAAACGACAATATGAATTATGGCTTGTTGAATAGAAAGAAAAACAACGCGAACAGATAATTTAATGAAGAAGCCTCAGGAAAGGAAATTCAGACCCATAAGAAGAAAAATATCCATTATTTGGTATCATGTAGATCAGTGAATCAACCATATTAACTCAATGAACAAGGTGAAAACCGAAATCTGGAAGCAAACAGTCTGCAGAATGAGTGAGTGAAAATAACCATCCAGTTAAGAGGACATTTTAGCTAAGAACAACTGCTTATCTCAAACACCTGAAAGATGTTAAATAAAAAGAAATGCTAATAAATCAAACAATGTGTTGGAATTACGCTAGAAACAACAGTTGAAACAAATGACTTCTTTCTCCATTTGGTTGGATGAGTCTCAACAACCCATCACGGCACAATTGTATACAAAGACACCAGAATGCTCTTTTAGGCCGATGACCTTCCAATCCAAGGTGCCGTCTTTACACCCTGATTTTGGTGCCCAAGAACTCAATATAATAGCTTCACCTTCTGGACCCCTGTTGCCACCTACCACAAGAAGTTCTTCACCACATGCTTTGAAAGCAAGACCCCAACCATTCGAAGAATCAGCCCTCACGGGAAGTCTTCCCAATACCTCCCATGAGTTATTTTTCTTGTCATACTTCTTAACCATGTTGGTTAGATATTCAACTGCATATAGTTGGTTATTAACAACTGCAACAAGAGGAGGTGCCTGAGCAGCTCTATTGACGTTTGGATACATGCCCTCAATTTTCCTCCACTTCCTTGTTTGTAGATCAAACTCTTCCCCACAAGTCAAAGAATCGGTAGGATTAGTCATCCCACCTATCACATAAAATTTTCCATCCATGAAAAAGCCAGAGCATAATCTGCGGGGAGAATGCATGTTGGGCAGTATTTCCCATGTACCAGTCAAAGAATCATAAAGCTCGGCAGATTTTAGTACATTCCCATTCTTGTCACTACCCCCTGCAACAATAGAAATTGAACCAAGACTACCCGATCCAAACAGACAACGACGATGATTCATCCCTTCACATTTTTCCCAGTTGTTTTGAATCAAACTGTATTTCCATATAGCAAAATCAAATAACTCACGGCCAAAAACCAGTAATTCACTACCAACCGCTAATGACTCCTTATCTGCATAATTAAAGCAATCATCACAGGGAATTTTCGGTAATCTCAACCATTTTTTTCTGAAAGGATCAAAAGCCTCCCAACCCCGAGGATCACAAACCATATAAACCCAGTGTTCAACAACACTTATCCGCCTCCTTAATTCATATAAATAACCACTCTTGACTAATGAATTAAACCTAGCATTCAGGCACGACAACGATGCATAATCTGATCTAGATGCCCGAGCAAGACATGTTAAAGCAACATCATCATGTAGGCCTGGAAGAAGTGATTCACTTGATCTAAATTTGCAATGACCATCATCATCTTCTTCTTCTTCTAACCTCATTCTCTTCCCCTTCTCCTCTTCCTCCTTCCTAAATAAATACCCATTCTTCAACTTCTTAGTTTCAGAAGCCATGCTATCATACACAACCCACAGTTTCCAATCAATCACACACTTGAAAAAAGCCACAAAATTTATTTCTGAAAACACAAAATTCCCAAATTTTTTTATCAAAATATCAATTTCTCTCTCACCAAAAAGCTATGAACTCCAGCTCGCTTATTAACTACTACAACTTCATGAGTATGTCAAAACTCTAGCAACTATAATCAAATAGTTCGAAATATTACCCAAAATATTCAAACTTCCTCGCGTTTTTTCCACTGAGATTCAAATTTCACATATTATTCAGAAATTTTCCCTTATTTTGAAGCAGAAAATATAAGATACACAGAACAAAGCTTATTAAACTTGAGAAAAGAGGCAAATTGAATGAGAAATGAATTATTCAGTAAGGAAAAACAGATAGCGATTCGGATCCAAACCAGGTAAGGAAACCTATTCGGATCTCACCGGAAATCCAGCTGCTTATTTCTGCCAGTCGCAAATTAGCGTCGCCGGAGATAAAAACCAGTGTGGTGATTATTCCATTGCTGGAGTGAAGTAAGTTTCGATCCGATCACAGGTAACTATAACGCCGGGATATTCGCCGGAAAACGAACTTACGGCGACCATCTCACCGGAATTTTTAGAGAGAGAATTTTAGAGAGTGGGGATCGGTTTCTTTTAGGCAGAAGACTGATAAAAAGGAAATGGAAAATGAAAGAGGAAACTTTATTTATTTACAATAGTAGTCCTTTATCCTTTGGTATATTGCATAATTTCCCTGTTATTTAGAATTTTTTTGCAAAATCATCCTTTTCAATATTATTATTTTTATTCTAATTTTCTATTATTTTATATATTATCATCATATTGTTCTCCATAATGATATTATTTAACCAATATGGACTGTCGTGACAATGATAAAGACTTCTTTATTCTTTAACCAGGGTCTTAAGTTCGAGCTTTTGGTATGATGAAAATTTTGTTGGAAGAGCCACCTTCAAACGAATCTTATATATCGCGATACGAATTCAGTCAGGGCTTCTAAATTCGAACACCTGACGGGAAATCAAATGAAAAAAAAGAGAGATTATTTCAAGTTAGTTTAAAAAATTTTATTGGAAGAGTCACCCCTGAACGGATCAATAGTGCGGATTCAAAATTAATCGAAATTTTAATGTAAACTTCAGACACTAAATGAAAAATCAAACGAAAAGTGAAAAAAGAGATATTGTTTCAAGTTAGCTTGGAACAATATGCTGATCGAATATATATGTATATATATATATAGAGAGAGAGAGGGCGCGCATTTTCAATATACATTTCCATTCAAGTAAACCATATCGAATACTAGTAAGGAAAGAAATATAATAATGAAAAATACATAAAAAAAAAAGGAAAATATACTAACAATAACAAATAATATAATAATCGAATCAAAGAAACAACAAATATATATATAGAGAGAGAGACAGGGTTGGCGTATTTTCAATATACGTTTCCATTCAACAAAACCGTATCGAATATTAGTAAGGGAAGTAAAGAAAAATTATATGAATTAATACATTTTTAAAAATAATTACTGATTTTAGCGATACTTTTTGTCTATTACCATTTATAGCAATACTGTGATAAATCTGTAATATGTATTAAAAGTGAATCATGTATGCAATATATTTGAATTAAAATTGTCACATTTTATTATAAGCGTATTAAAATGTGCGATAAATGTATTATCAATCATTAAAACTTGTATTATATGTGATTAATAAATTGCCTTTGTAATATGTATTAAACTTGTATTATAAATGAATTAAAAGTGATCAAGTGAAAAAAATATTATTGCTATAAATGATAAATATTTTTTTATTATAGTATATCTATGTAAGTTTCTCGAAAGGAAATATAATAATGAAAGATTACATAAAAAAATAAAGGAAAATATACTAACAATAACAAATAATATAATAATCGAATCAAAGAAAACAACAGATAATAATAAATCGAAAACGGTTTCGAAAACTCACTTACGTAAGTGAAGTTTGTATTTATGGGATTAAGTACCAAGAAAAAGTCAAATATGCTTTTGTCACCTTATCATTTTAGAGTATTTAATTGAAAGGGTCCTATAAGTTTTATAGCATATACACTTTTGATCCTATAAATATAATTTTGAGCATATATAATCCAAAGTTATAGAAAAAAATTATAATCATATAGTTGTAAATATTAGAGATCTTCCTCACTAATTCATTTAATTAATGAAAAAAATCGACATATCATTAAATTTAATAAAAATAACATATTTTAACGTATAATCAAAATAAAAATAACTAGATATAACATTTATAAGGTAAACAAATTTTTATTCAAATAATCAACATAAATACGAGTTATAAAATTAATATATATAGGTTGCACGTGATTAAAATACAAAATAACCATAATAAAAACATTAATAATTTTCTTTGCTAATTTATTTTTGTTTCAATTGATAAATATATGGATAGACGATATACCTAATAAATTTAACGTGTTTTTTTTATGTTATTAGAATAAAAAATCATAAGAGTAAACATTACAAATCTTTGTCATATCGAGATATTATAAATTTAATGGAATATTTTGCACACGACTGAAATAAAATAAATCATAATAAAAAAAATATCAAAAATCTTCTTCGAACATACAAACAAGTCATAAATCTAATGAAAAATAACGTGTTTTACATTGTGGTTAAAATACAATTAATCGTAATAAAAAATATGATTTTTTTTGCCTAATATATTTTTTGCTTTGATTGATGAACATATAAACAAGTCATGAAACTAACTTATTTAATTTGTTTTTCATGTTATTAGAATAAGAAATAATCATAATAATAAATATTTAAAATAACATAATTTTTTACATTGCGTTGTTATTAAGCAAATAAACAAATAAATTCTACCCAAAAAAAGAAAAAAAAATTATATTCCAAATGTCTATTTCAATTATGTATTTTCAGTTCACTTTTTGTTGATAATAATACAAGAAAAGGAAACTGCTTTTTTCTTGTCCCTTCAAATATCAAAATTAAAATTACATAGAAATATAAAGTACTAGGGGTTTTTTTTTTTTTTTGCTCATACCAAAAAATTACTATTTTTGAACATATAAAAATATCTCAAAAAAAAATTAGGAAGAGATGACTAAACAAGATGTAACGTAGCTAATCGAGGACTAATTGTTAGATAAGTGGATATGAAGGTTCAGAAGTAAAGTAGAGTGTTGTTTAGAAGCATATTTGTATTGACGTTATTAATCTGCTACATACTGATAATATCTGTCTTTATTTTTTATTAGTATTACTTTACATTTCTTTATTTCGATTATCATATTATTCAATATTGCTATTGTAAGTCATTTTCATAGTTAATTTTGATATGTTTTACTTGACAAAAAAACCTATCAGAAACAATCTTTCTATCTTCACCAAATAAGGGGTAAAGCTGCACACATGCGGAATTAGGTGAAGGTTCGTAGGTTCGAACGAATCCAATAGCCTTTTCATGAACCCTGTATTTGTAGTAGAAAATTAATTACCATATATATGTATATTAATCGTAAATCCCTAACAAAATTGATCAACGGTTCTAAACGAGTTTAGAACCCTCAAACACTTTATCCTGGCTCCGCCTCTGTAATACTATAGACGATATTAGACAATCATATAATATATACAAAATTATAGAATGTAATATAACATTTTCTCATATTAGTTATGCATACCTTACCTCTATCATGCGAGAGGTAGAGAGACGGTTCTAGATAGATCCTCGGCTCAAGAAAAGCGATAAAAAAAGAGGGACATATACTAAAAATCTATAACAAGGATGTTCACTTAATAACTTTACTTTACACTATCATATGAAAATTCTTCTTCATATAAAAAAAACACATACAAATATCCACAAAAACAAATATGTTGGCTTTCTTCTAAGCATCAAAACACAAAACTTGTACCATCATTACCAACAAAAAAAACAACGAAAACATATCGCGATGTCTCGCTGCCATTACAACTGAACGAGTACTCTCGGAGTATGACAGAAACCAAACAAAATTTACTCGAACACCTCATTTTCTACTATCGTTCACATAACATGTATCCGATTGCTCCTGCAAGATGCAATTTGCCGGGGAAAAAAAGACATCCTAGTTTATCTTCCTACAAGAACTGAGAAGAGAGAACGGAACGTTATAAACATACTAGAAACACTCTGCAGTTAGTTCAAGTAGGGGTATCCTCTGCGCTCCCATCCTGTACGTCTTTCTGCAACTTTTGGCGCTGGCACCAACACGAGAACTGAGGGATGGGGCCTTCATCTCCTAGGAACCACTCGTGTTGACAAACACTTTCGAGAGTTAGCCTTTGTGTTGGATCTATGCAAAAGGACTTTTTGTTAGGAAAATAGGTGGAGAAATTAGTAAGCTACCAACAACAACAACATACAGAGTGTAATCCGAAAAGTGGGGACGAGGGAGGGTAGGAAGTACGCAGACCTTAACCCCTACCTTGGCAAGTAGAGAGGTTGTTTCCGATAGACCCTCGGCCAAAAAGGAATGTTATCGAAGAAGGATTGCAAGAAAATATGACAACCAAATAGCAAGATATAAAGCAAATGAAGCAACACACAGAAGAATAGGAGACTACACAGAGTCAAGATATCAAGCAGGACGAGAGACAAACCTTTGCAGAGAAGCCCCTCTAATAAATTCTTCAGTAACGGATTCATATCGTCGGGGAGAATGATGGGGTTATTTACTATCTGGAAAGACGAAATACAGGCAGTTAAGAAAGCAGGAAAGACTAAAGTCTATGTTGTACCTCGGATATACGATTAGACTCGCACCTTGTCATATGTATCCTGGAGAGTTTCTCCTAGAAACGGGTATTTTCCCAAGATCATGCAATAAAGGGTAACACCAACCGCCCACGTGTCAGCACATTTTCCATGATATCTATCTCCTATTAATAAAGAATACAGAAAAAACCACTTCAATAACAACAACAACGAAAAATTATGCCTTGGTCCCAAACAAGTAGTCAGCTAAGTTTAACGATAATTTAGATGTCAGCATTCAACGAGCCAAGAAGTCCTGACCTACGCAGCATTCAGGAGCAGTGAAAACAGGAGTGCCAGGAGATCGACGGAGTTTATCATTATCATCCTACAAACAGGAATAGTTCCAACTACAGTTAGTAATATACCGGAAAAGAACAGGAAAGAACAAATATTAAACGAAAACAACTTAAATTAACGCAATCACCACCAAACCCTTCAAGCCCCAAAAGTTTAGAGCCAACAAGTACAAATAAATTTCCTATCATTAGGACATTATTCCAACTAGGTGCGTCTAAACAAAGACTATCGACCTCTATGACAACCAATCTCTATTTCTATTCATATACACATTCTTAGTCGTAAGATTATAAGAAACTAGGGCTGGAAATTCTATTTAAAGAACAGAACATTGTTGAGCTTGGTCATACCTCAAAAACTTGGCTGACGCTGAAATCACCAATCTTCACCTTACCAGCAGCAGACACTAAAAGATTGTCTGGCTTAATATCCCCATGTATGATATTCTGCTCAACACAAAACAAGAAAGGACATAGGTAAAACACTATGGCGTGGATCGGGAATGTAAAGCATTAAAGATAAG